AGGCCCCGGGCGGGCCCGGCCCCGCTGGCACCGCCCGACGGGGCGGACGCCGCCGATATAAAGAGGGGGGTGGTGAGGGGGGAGCTGTAGAGCGTTCTGCTGCTTTTCGTCTCGCCTCGTCGCTCTCTGCAGCCGTAGCCATGAGCACTGGCATGTACCAGTCCCCCATGGAGGTGGCTGTCTACCAGCTCCACAACTTCTCCATCTCTTTTTTCTCCTCCCTGCTCGGGGGGGACGTGGTCTCCGTGAAGCTCGATAACAGGTAGGGCAGCCCCGGTACCGGCCCCGGGGGACCCCGCTGCATTGCTCCTGCTGAAACGGGGGGGTTCACATGCACCGTTCCTCTGGAGTGGGGGGAACGGGGACGGCTCGGTGCATGGATCCTCAGTGGGGAGGTGCATTGCAGGCTGGGAGAGGGGGGTGGGTGTCCCCGCTGCATGGATCCCCGGGGAAGGGGGGTGCTCGGGGGCTCGCTGCTAACGTCCTGCCTCTCCGCTCTCTTCCAGCGCCTCCGGAGCCAGCGTGGTGGCCATCGACAACAAGATCGAGCAGGCAATGGTGAGCCGCAGAGCTGCTCCCCCCGCGCACTTTGCTCCGTGACACCCCCCGCGGTTGCTCTTGCTTGGAGAAAGGGTGGGGGGGCGCGTCCCCAGTCCCGGGTGGGTGCTCTGCCCGGAGAGGGGGTCCCCACTTCCCAGCCTGTTGCTGGGCAGAGCAGCTCCTTTGTCTGCCTGCCGCAGCTGGCTGAGCTCATTGGCTCCGGCGGCGCCGCAGTGCGCAGGGAGCCTGCCGAGGGGGGGCACCCGGGAAGGACCCTCCGGGGTTGGGAGGGTGACCAAGCCAGGTCCCATGGGTGATAGGGGGTTGCAGCCCGTTAAACCCCCAAGGTGAGGGAGGGGGCTGGGGAGTGCCACCGGAGGCAGCAAGTCCAGGGAGATGGGGAACCTGAGGGGATGCTACGGGTGCTGCCCAGGGGGGCTGCAGTGGGTGAGCACTGAGCCCTGGCCAGGCTGCCAAGGGTGGGGAGGGGGAGCCTTTGGGAAAAGACTTTGCGGCACTTAGCGAGTGGCTGGGGGCATTAGTTGGTGGGGCAGGGTGAGAGCAACACCCAAGGGAGTAACCTTTGAGTGATCAGTATTTTCGGTCTTTTTCAGGATCTTGTGAAAAATCACCTGATGTATGCTGTGCGGGAGGAGGTGGAGGTCCTGAAAGAGCAAATCAAAGAACTGTTGGAGAAAAACTCCCAGCTGGAGCGTGAAAACAGCCTCCTGAAGACCCTTGCCAGCCCTGAGCAGCTGGAGAAGTTCCAGTCCCGGCTCCCCGCAGAGGTCCTGAGCCCGGAGGAGCAGAGCCCCGGGGCGGCTGCCCCGGCCCAGCACTCAGGGGGCTCTGCGGTGTAAGGTGGCTCTGTCCTCGGGGTGGGCAGAGCCACAGAACTCTTTCTACTTAATCTCCTGCAAAATCGTTTCCGCCTTCATCTCACACGAAGGACTGCCAGACCCCGGCGCTGAGCCGTGCCCCCCCCGGGCAACCCTGGCCAGCTAGCAGAGCCAGTGGCTGTCTCCTGCACGAGGATGCTCTTCTGCGAGGGAGACGCGGGCAGCTGACCCCTCCCCATCCAACCACCCACCGTGTACCAGGAGTAAATCTGTGGCCTGCCCGTCCCAGGTTCTGCTGAAACCTGGGCATCCGCAACACCCTGGCAGTGCCAGGCGGCCTTCGGCACTTTAATGGGAATCCACAGTTGGAAGGAATACACGCCGAGTCCTGTGCCTTTGCTGCACTGTGCAGGGGGGGTGTGTCTCTTTCTGGCAAAGCCTGACGTTGGAGGAAGACCGTTGTTTAGTGAGCGATGCAGATTTGTCCTGCTAGCCACCCAGGAGCATGCTGGAACCCAAATCTGACTCTGAGCAGCACCAGTGGTGGCAGTTGCGATGTAGTGCATGGCTGTACGCACATCAGTGTGGGAATTACAAGGAAAAAAAAGCTTGTTTTATTAGTTTGGGCATCTTCTGTAGCTGTATCTATGTATAAACACACGCATGAGCGGTGCCCATGAGGCTGTGGGGTGCCCTGCTCTGGGCTAGCCGTGCCCATCTGTACAGCTGGGGGATTCGAGGCAAGACTGGAATGGTGAGGAGCTGTAACTGGGTGGCCAGTGCTGCAAGCAGCACAGAGGGGATGGATTCACCCCTCTTCTGGCATCCACCACGACAGAGCCATGCAGCAGCACTGGGAGGATCTGGACTGACTGCTGGGCAGAGCCATGACAGGGGCTGCGCTCCAGCCTGCTGGGTTGGGGGGAGCCGGCCCGTGCTCCTGGGCTCCCCACCTTCCCTGGCCAGCAATCTGGGAAGTGACGGGACGTCCATTTTGACGTCGGAAGCGGTGACACAGTTGTGTAAATCTAGGTAGAAATGGCAATAAACTCTACTTTTTATATAAACCTGTGTCCCAAGCTGTGTGTCTGTGGCTGGGAAGGGAGAGGTGGTGGGGGACCAGAGGGGGACTGGATTGCTGGGGAAGGGGAATGGGCTGGGGCTTGCTGGGATGAGACTGGTGAAGATAGAGTTCTGCAGACCTACTGGGGACTGGCCTGGTGCAACTCCTCAGGAGGGAAAGCCTGGCATCTCCCCCACCCTTGGGTGGGGGTCAGTCCCTCCTGAACTAACCTGGCTTTTTGGAGATGTGAGCAGGCACCCCTTTTCCAAGGGGCGGGGTGTGTGGAGGTAAACATAGCCTGAACCTACAGGTCTCTGTCCTCTGTGTCATGCCTATGACCCAGGGGTGTGTGCTGGACAGGCTGGGGGGCCAAGCAGGGAGGAGACGAAGCTGTGTGGAGCTGTATGTACCCGCAGCCCAGCTCTGCTCTTCCTCGCGTGTTTCTGTTCTGCTGCTTCTCATGGACATCGATTTTTTTTTTTTTGAACCATCTTGAAACAAGGTGTGAGGGTCAGAGGATGGGTCAGCTTGATTGAACAGGGCTGGATGGGGGCAGAGGGTGCACCAACCCTATCCTTAGGGTGCAGCCAGCCTTGGATTCTACTCCATGGCGTAGGTGGGAGAAGGGAAGAAAAAAAACCCACACAAGGTTACATCTTTGGGGATGCTGGTAGCTATGACGTTTGGGTGGGGGTTAAAGGCTGGTGGGTACTAGGAGAACCAGGAGGTGTGTGAGCAAAGCCCCAGGCTGGCAGGATGTTTGAAGCTGGGTGCAGTATCCTCTCCCGGGGTTTTATACCCTGGACATGACTACTGGGCCAGCTGAAGACATCCCCAGCCCAGTGAAGGGGGCCAGCAGTGTCCCAGGCCCGGGGGAGCTGGTAGGTGGGCATACCCCGCTGCCAGCAGCACTGCTTTGCACTGATTATTTCTCTGCTGAAGTGAGGGAGACTTAGCCCCGGCCCGATGTGAGTCACGGCAGAGCTGGGGAGCTGCAGACGGTTGGCTCCCTGGAAACGTGGAGTAAACAGCAAAACACAGGCCACAGGGGCTCAAAACCGTTACAGGGTGCTTGTCACCTCCCTGTGCTATCTGTCCCAGGGCTGGGACCCAACCGCAGCCTCTTGCAAGCAGCCCTGCAGATACTCTAGTGCAAGGGTTTGGTGTGCACATGTGTGCTTTGGATGTGTGAGTGCCACTTGTGTGATTGCTTTCCCTGCTGGGTGCATGCATGTGCAGACAGGTTCAGGCACCCCCATACTATGTATATACACATCCCTTGCACACACAGGCACTGCAGAAAGCTGTGGGGCACACGCAGAGCACAACCCCCCAGTGCTGCCCATCTCTTGTGTGGTACAGCATCTCCAGGAAGGGCTGTTTCCCAGCACTGTTGGATGCCAACTGTGTTTCACTGGCCATTTCACTGTAGTGGGTTTAGGGGTGCTACTGGATCCCAGCTGGTGGGAAATTGTCCACCCGTCCTTCTGAACCTCCTCAGCTGAGGAAGATTTGGGCTGCAGTGATGAGCTTTGTACCTCATCTGGACTTGCTGCACCTCACACCCCAGCTGCATTTGAGGGATGCTGTGATGTTGTTTGGAATCTGGAGCCCTGTTTGTCACTTTTCCATGTATTGTGTCCCCTCCTCATGGCCCTGGGATGCCCCCCAGCCCCCACATGCCTTTGTGTAGAGGGGACTGGCAGTGACACCCAGGTAGACCCCGCTCACCACAACTTGCTCCAGATCAGCCTTCCTCCCACGAGTGGGCAGAGCCTTTTCCTGTCCCCCCCCCCGCGTGGTGTGACACAGTGGCAGCCAATGGCACAGGGCAGCCTCACCAGAAACCCCTCCCTTGCGGCTGGCACATGGCACCGCAGAGCTGCACAAGGCTGAGCCCAGCCCCGGTGGCGTCCCCTGGGAACAGCAGGAGAGGAGATGAACCCCTGGGCTGAGCAGCCAGCAAGCCTGTGGGTGCAGTGGCCAAGGAAAAGTGGCTGACACACACACACGCCCCTCCGTCCCTGGGGTGCAGAGGGCCTGCTGCCCAGCTCCTGCTGCATCTCGGGGCTGGTGGAGGTCTACCAACACCCCTACATCACCCCAAAACACCCTATGCCCTTCCCAGGCCCTCTGATTATGGAAAAGGCTTGGAAACACCCTTACCAGACTGCCTGTGCCTTCTGGACACGATGTCCCCTTGTGCTGTGCCACAGGCCCTGAAGAAAGCAGGACATGTTGTGCAGCACCCAAAATGAGATAAGGGCCCCACCCTTCCCGCTGGCACAGCACTCCCTGGCTCTCTGCCCCCACCAGCCCCTGGGCTCCAGAGTGTTAATTCCCTGGTACAGCGAGGGTGCTGGGGCAGCGTGGCACCCCAGGCCTCTCCATCAGCCCCCCGTTTCCCCTCCTCCCCCCAGCAAGGATGCACCTTGCATGAGGAGGCAACCCACAGGCAGCAGAAGGAGGGAAAGCAGAGCCAGGCCCTTAGGCAAGGCAAGCAGGACTGAGCTCTACCCCAGAACACGGCAGGGACCGACTTGAGCTCCCCCCAGTTCATCGAACCCCACTTCCCGAAGACCTCAGCAAGTCCCTATGGCGGGGACACAGGTGACAGCACCAGTCCGGGCAGCGGAGGGTTAACACCGCATCGTGGTCACCATGGGCTGCCCCTGCTGCTGCAGCTCAGTGGCAACCCAGGGGTTAACGCGCCGCAGCAGGAAATTTCTAAGAAACGGCCGATTTGTAAAAAAAAAGAGAAGCTGCTGCTGCGGAGATCGGTGCTTTCCCGGGAGGGCGGGATGCTGCTCGGCCC